AACTTTACTTTACTCAGTAAAGTAAAGTACACTAACTTTACTTTACTGAGTAAAGTAAAGTAAATTACTTCACTTTACTCAATAAAGTAAAGTAAAATGCTTTACTTTACTTTACTTTATTAAAGGAAAATAAAGTTAAAGTGCCACCCCTAGGTGAGCGATGTTTTTTGTGTCTTACAAGAAAAAATCGTAATTGTTCTTACTCATAGAGTAAAATCTTCAAAAAATATGCAGTTAATTGTTTTAACTAATGATGCATCATCATATACATACAATTTGCGATTATATACACATTCCTATTCAAAACTTGGATAGATAAATTTATTCAATAACGATCGTAAAGAAAACAAAAGACATGTCCTCGTCTTTGTAATTCCGTTCAACAATTCACATGTGCGTTAACTACAGCTATAGTCATCGTTATAAAAGTTCATCGACTTTTATATTAAATTTTTTATATGTTTCTAGACAATATGGATGAAGACTTTCTTCCAGATACTACTGATCCTTTGGAAAATATTCCTGAAATAGCTCCCAATGAAGCCGAAACATTGGCATATCAACATCTAATAGATCGATTAGAGGAAATTGAAAATTTACCAACAACAGACGCTCAAATGAAGAGAGATCAAAGATCTCAATTTGTTGCTGTATGGAGCGAAATTCTTCAAATTCCTCCATCGGATGCTCCATCTTGTTATCAGAAATGTGCTAGCCTTCTGTCACGTTTATTCAAACAGAACCAAATTTATATCATACGAGCAAATACAAAAATTGCTCGTGAGATGTGTTTTGCATGCATATCTCAACTCACTCATTCAAATATAAGTCATTTTCTGAAATTAAAAACAGAACAACAGAATTTACCTGACAATCGAATTTAAAAAAAAAATATTCTCCATCTGCTACGAATCGCAGCACAAACAATTGCACTTATTCCATTTTCAAAAGTGGACGATCGACAATTCATTGAAAACCACTTTGAACTTTATACTGTGTTAATTGAATATATCGAACAATCCATGCCTGAACATTGTGAAACAAAAGTAGAACAAGGGTATATTCTAGGAGATATTGCTTTAC